TTAGGAATAGAATACCTAAATACCCTTGATTTAATTACCATTGAGCACAGATCGGTTCTTGTTAATGGATGGTTGAGATGTGTTCTCACGTTAAGACTCGTTCTCATTTGAACCAAAACCTCTCTGTGTGTGTGCGTGCGTGTGGGCGTGCGTGCGTGTGTGTGTGTGTGTGTGTTGAGTTTATTAATGTTTTTAATTGGACTAGGCTTAAACATTAGCGGGGTAAACTAAATATGAAAAATGAAAAAATTACTTAAAAAAATTGTAAAACACTTAAGTTACTTTGGTTTTCATCCAATCATAACCTATACGTAGATCCTTCCCAACGTACCCTTCAACACTCCATCTAAACATAATGTTAGTCACAAAGAATAATAAGATAAGATTTACAAGATACATTCAATATGGAAATATATTGAGTTCTTAGTTCTATCATTGAAGCCCAATTTACATTCTTGTAATTGTTTGGGTGATGATGCGGCCTCAAGGATGGGGTGACATCTTTTCTTTTGTTACAGTAACTTCATATTATAAGAAGATAACAAGTGTGACAATAAGTAATAGTGTAGTAGTAGTACAGTAAAAGACCATTTGAGAGGCTAATGAGGCTTGAGTGCCTTAAGCTACATTTGAAGTACGGAGTATATATTTTTAGGAGGTTGGCATTTTTAACCACAAAATATTTTATATCGTTTATTTTCTAAAATAAGCTTTATTTTAAAAGTTAAGTGTTTCTTTGATAATGGTTCCTCTAATATGCTGTGTTGATAATACTTTGTGTCAAAAAGGAGTTTATTGTCAGACATGAGTCACATGACAATATGGGAAAGTGGTTACGTTGATAATGCCTCTTTTTTAAAGGAAATTTCAAAACCCCAAGATCAGAGCAAAAGCATTTATAGTCCCTTAAAGGCTTAAAAACTGGTCTTCGTTTGAAAGATGTGATATAATCTGCATTCGTAAAGACTTATTTATGTATGAATCTTGTTTCTTGTTGTAAATAAAAGTTAGGCATGAATCTTTGTAGTCTTATGTTGCAGAAGTTTTCTCATCCAACATGGTTTGGAATGAATGATATTCTCATGTTGGTATGAATGGTTTTCTTATATAATTTGAATGCTTGATATCTCATCTACTTTTCTTATGAATTCCAAATATGTACAAGGTTCAATAGAAATCTCTTTTATCTTTCCTAATACGTATCTTTATGGGTGTTTTCTAGATTTACGGGAGTTTGGTGCCGACAAGGCAAAAATGCGGGCTTTTTTATGGGATTTCTGAGATTATGGGAATTGGGTATATTTCACAAAAGCTTCGGATTATAGGTATCTCTGACAATGTGTTTTATTTACTTTAACTTCGATTTTCTCCCTTAGTGTTATTGTTATTATTTACTTTATTTATTGATAAAAAATCACTTGGTTTTTGTACGGACGCAAGTTTTGTTATGAAAAAATTCCCTTAATAGAAGTAAAAACGTTTTGAAATTTTAAAATAGGACTATCATATTTTTTATTTCTGAATAGGAGTAAAGTAAATTTCTGCCAAGTTTGGCATTACTAGACTTTAAACATGGCATTTCTTCCCAAACTTGGCAGATTACTCTTATTCAGGGGATAAAAATCATGATAGTCCTATTTTGGAATTTCGAAACGTTTTACTGCTATGTAGGGCAATTTCTGTTTTGTTATTACTCCACAGTTAACATTTAATATTTACTCCACATTTAACATTTGATATTCCTCAAATATTTGTACATAATTGTCTGTGTAAATAGGCAATGCAGCACGAGCAGCATGTGTACACTATACTAGTGGGTGTACACATTATCTGTGTACACAGACAATACCGTATAAATGTATCCAAATTGTGTACAAATTGAGTGTATAAATAGATGTTTTCATATTATTTATTCTTTATTCTATTAATAAAATATATTTCTTATGTAATTTTTTAAAATTCAACAGATTCAGGCATTCAGCCAAATTTTAATCAATTTCAACAGAATCAGCATATTCAATCAAACTAAATAATTACATATTTATGACTAAAATAATAATCATGATATATAATAACTAAAATAAAGATGGTTGAAAAATATGTGGCATCTTAAGTGTAATGACTATAATTGTAACGTTCAGTGACTATTTTTATGATCAAGTTTTACACTTTAGTGAGTATGATGTTATACTCAACTGTAATCATATTTTTGTTATTACTTTCATAATATATTTAGAAAAACCCACTACATAAAGATTGTTTTAAGAAATGTGACATCTTATGTGTAGTAATTATACTAGTAATTTAGTTATAATAACTTATGTTCAATTTGTACACTTAAATTACTATGAAGCTACTATAATAATTACACCGTATATTATTAGTCATATTTTTGTAAATAAGTTCTAATTCGCTAATATTTTTTAAAGACCTTATTTTCACAGATTAATAATGAGATATTTAATATTCCAGTTTAACTAAATTTCACTTATATTACTCGTATTGTCTATTCCTAAACAAACGGAACAAAAAAATTCATTTAAATGTAATGGAAGATAACATGTTAGGACAAACATGTTTAGTTGGACATGTCACCAACTAAAATCCGCATCCACAAAAAAAAGGATTAGCCCATTCCCACTAATCCACTATCTATGGAGACTGGAGAGAGAGGGGGATTGAAAAACTTTATATTCCCGTATTTTCATACACAAAAGAGCATCTTCGTAATTTGGGAATGGGTACGGGAAAGTCCCGCATATCCGTCCCTTCCTCTATCTTTATGGCCTATTCTAGTAATATAGTTTCGTTTGAATATTTTGATCACATTTGACATTAGAATATGTAATAGGCTGAAGAAATAATAAAAGACTTTAAGATGAGAGGTATGTACATACTAAGAGGTGTTCATCGGTTCGGTGTGGTCGGTTTTCGGTTTGGTCGGTTCGGTTTGGTCGATTTCGGTTTTAGAAAAGGTGAAACCGTAAACCGAACCGCACTACTTGAGTCGGTTTCGGTCCGGTTTCGGTTTGGTTAGTTTCGGTCGATTTGTGTCAATTTCAGTCGGTTTTAGCATGTTTTTGTCGATTTTTGTTGGTCGGTTTCGATTTGGTCGGTTTTTTAACCCAAAAGGTGAAACCGTAAAACGAACTGTCAATGTTTAGTAGGTTTGAGTCGATTTCGATTTGAGTTGATTTCAGTTTTGGTCGGTTTAGTTTAGGACGGTTTGTCGGTCGGTTTTGGTTTGTCGATTTTTTTGTTCACCGAGATATGGCTAATCTTGCGGAGATAGGTAACTTCACGAGATATTATTAGTGTAATAGGATATAAATCTCGCAAGATGAGATATGATAATATTATAGCTCGTTGATGTAGTTTATATGTCAATATGTTGTTTAATCTCACAACACTTTTAAAGAATCTCGTGATAGATTTGAACATCACGAGATTAGTTTATTGAACTTCTCGATATATGGTCAATCTTGTAAGATATGGTTTATCTCATGGGTGTTTCTAACAATATATCATTTACTCACCAGAAACTTTATTTAACCAGCAAGATATGATTAATCTCACGAAGTCACGAGGTATGATCATTCTCGCAACATGTGGTTTGTTTTGTGATATACATTTTATTTCACTAGATATGGCTTATCATGCAAGATATGGTTTATGTCATGAGATATGATTAATCTAACACGATATATTTGGATTTTCAAACAAGGAAAATATTCATGTAAGATAGGCCTAAAAGTTATAATTTTAGGCCTCTTTGAGCTGAGGGGCTTCCGGGATGAATATTTTGATGAACTTTTGTGAGAATGTTCTGCATAAAGTTTATATTATATCTACCAAATTTCAGATTAAAATTTAATCAAGAAGTCATTCAAATATTTTTTAAAAAAATTGGGCAGTTTTGTATACATATAACATGCAGTTTTTTTAAATAATTTAGTTAACTGACTCCCTGATTGAATTTTAAGTTGAAATTTCGTGGAGATAACATAAACTTCATGGAGAACGGACTCACAAAATTTCATGAAAATATTCGACCCGGAAGTACCTCAAATGAAAGAGGGCTAAAACTTTGTGAGATTCAATAAGTTTTAGGCCTACCTTAGGAGAACACTTTCCTTTCTGACAATACCTTTTTGAATCTCACAAAGTATAATCAATCTCAGTGGCAGAGCTGCTTTGTTCCAAAGTATGCACAAGAACACTGAACACCCAAAAATCTTAAAAACATGGTAGTACACATCATACATTCATACATGTGTAAATTTAGTGTAATTGTATTTATTCCTCTTTAAATTTTTACTTGTATAAAATTGAACACTTGATGTTTATCTCGCAACATAGGTTTTCACATGAACTAATGTTATCTCACAAAATATGCTTAATGCCGTCAGATATGGTTTTTTTCATGAGATATGATTTATCTCATGAGATGTAATTTTAATCTCAAAAGATCTTACTGAACCTGGTGAGATATGGTTTATCCCGTGAGATATGACTAACCTCGCGATGCATGGTAAATCTCATAATATATAATTCTCACGAAATATGTTTGATCTAAGAGGCTTTATTCAACCTCACGAGCTAAAATTAATATTGTGAGAATTGAGATACGGGTAATAGCAATGTATGGTAATATTGTGACAGTAAAAAAACTCTAAATCCGAAAGTGGCTATGTGGTTGGTGTTGATATCAGAAGTTAAATGGTATGTCTTGGGACTCGCTAGTACATTTTTTATTTATATAAAATGTGTATGAGCGATGTGTACTAATGTTGAATACTTTTGAAAGTTAAATACAAAAGATTGGATCTTGAAACAAAAGTTAAACACTTAATTAATTATGCCTCAATTTAAAATATACAAGGGCTTCATAATATGACCGATTCAGCTTTATTTGAAGACTCACAAGTCTTCACCGGTGTCCATAGATTTTTCAACATTGTTTGATACTATTCCGTATCATGTAAGCATCATGTTTTGTAGATTGGATATCTTAAGTCATTAACCAATGATTTTCTATTAATTTATTAATTAAATCGAACTATCGAAGTATAAAATTAACTTTGAAAACTATAAATTAAAGTTGCATGCATCTATATATCTAATGTAATTAAAAAAAATATGAAAATAATACATGTATAATACATTTTTCTTAAGCTCAAAAGAGATGGTCGCCTCCTAACCTGGAGCACTCATCAGGATAGTTGCTTGTTGTAGGCCTTCGGCGCAAGAAAAGAAGACCTCCACGTTTACTCCACCTGGAGCAAGGCCTTCCAAATGTGTTTGAAAATGCAGAGAATTTCTGTCATATGAACGTCTGAAGGGATTCTCTTAGCTCGGGTAAAAAAAAGGAACTGGCCGGAGTGCCGGACATAATGTGCAAGTTACAAAACAATTTAACATTCCGCACAAATTGTAAGAACGTGGGGGAAATATTTTAGCTGGGGTGTGTATCAATCATCATACATGCCCACCATCCATCAAAGCCACTAGCTGTATATCAAATCAGCACATAATAGAGAATTATGCAGCTTTAAATAAACTACTTCTATTTGCATTACTGGTTAAAGTTAAGTTGAACCTGAATCTTTACTTTAAAGTTGAACCGTCAAACTGCTCCACCAGATCGAACCCATGTAGCTGAACCTGCATTAGCACCATTGAGAAGATGGTCGCCGACATTGGCTACAAAGAGAGGATCCCTTTCCTCATGCTCCAAAATATCATTGATGTTTCCCATATGAATTTGCTGCTCAGTGCTCTCCAATTCTTTTGTCAGATCTTCCACAGTCTTCTTCAATGCAGCTTTGCTCACCTGGCCACCCTCCCTCATTGCCACTCCTATCATTGTAATATTTGGAAGAAAAGCACATGGATGTGGTTCATTTCGTCTTTTTAGTTCCCTGACCATGCACATATAAAAAAGCTCTAATTACACTTTATTCATCAAACAGCCATTGCTAGTAACAATGTCTTCAGTGCGTTTTAGCTTGTCACGTCAATTTTGCCAGTGAAGAGACAGCCAATCGCTAAAAGGGAAATGGAGAGCAAACCTTTGCTTATCTGGCAGATAATCCATTTTTTCCTTTGATGAACCGATAAAATTTAATTGGGTATCAGAATCAGATATGGCATCAGTATTAGGTGCCTTGCGTGCTCTCTGGAAGGAAGATATACTCCTGCAATGATAGCATTGGAAAAGAGAAACTAGATTAATTGAAAGCTTATTGTCCTTTCTCAAGTATACTGTAACTAAATTTTTAAAATTACCTTCTTTCGAAAGAGTCAACCATGTAAGGAAATTTTGGTTGAACACCGATCGCTTTCCGGAGCCATCTATTTCCCAATAGGACTTTGTCAACAGCATCTAGAAGCTGGTTTTCAGCAGCTTTAGAAATGACGCTCAGAGGAATTTCGGGGAGGCCAATTTCATCTATTACTTCCAGAACCTGAAATGGAACTTGTCATCTATTCAAGCAAAGTGATTGCAAAGATATTCTACATTATCTCTTTCATCCATTCATCTCTTCTCTTGTTCTTCCTATTCCCAAGTGCCACTGGTTTGTTATAGGTACTGCCTCCCGCCCTCCCCAAAAAACAAGAGTCCTGGTTAAATAATATTTTTGTCCCTAAAAAAAGATTCTGTAAAAGTCAAAGATATTTTTTACCTCAGCACTGCTGGTTTCTTATTGTATACTGCCCCCTCCCAAAAAAACGAATCAGGATTAAATAACTGTTTTGCCCCAACAAAAGATTCCAGTTTTTTAAAAGTCAACTATACCTTTTGAGAAAAATCCCCATAATGCCAAGTGAGAAGCGGTTTTAGTCAACTATTCCAAACAATCTCGGAAATAAGTTCTAGGGGTATAACTTATGTAGAGCTTGAACCTTGTCTGACTTGAGTAAAAATATTGTACTTTTATCAACCATTACTCTTTTGGGACAGAGGGAGTAGTTGTTTACACAATAATAAGGATTTTATTATGCCTCTACCACAGACTGCTGATGCTTCTCCCCTTTTTCTACAAAGATTAACTATTGTACCTCTGGAGGTTCCCACATGCTGTCTCCCATCTCTTCAACTAATTCAGAAGAAACATTGTCATCAATACCATCCTGCCGACGTTCTAGGTGCCTTGTATGGATTAGTGAATCGAAATGCTGATCAACCGAATCTTCAAGTATGTTGTCTAACATCCTTTTGTCAAAGAAATATGGAGTATACCTATTATAAGAAAAAGTGATTTGAATTTACATAACACTCGCTGAAAAGAACAATGATGTCAAGGTTATAGTCTAATACACTGTCAAGTAAAAAGGGAACATTTGTAATTTTGAAAATATAAATGAAGCTGCAAGCACCTAATAGGGTGTTCCAGGAGGCTCCCTGCTTCATGAGGGTATGGAGGATGGGCACTGTACACAGCCTTCCCCATACATATGCAAAGAGACTGTTTCCAGAACCAAACCCATGACCAACTAACCAGCCTCAAAAGAGAAACCATATACTTTTGACCAAGGCTTGCCCTAGAGCAAGCACTTTAACAATCCAAAAACTCATCAAGTTGTATCCAATATGTTTGACAATGGTCACACAGATTTAATGTTTCTATGTTCACATGTGTATATTATATTTTTTAAGAAAAATGGAGTAAATTAACCAACAGTCAGAAATCCAATAATATCATGGTGACTTGGCAGTCGCGTGTGAACATGCCACCTTTTGGAACCCACAATGTCTTATTTTGTTGAAATATTAATTTTTTCGATTTGCGTCCTCTATATGAATTAATATTGGAACCCTCACACGGATGTTTAGGCTCATGATGAGCAAACATAGATGAATTTACCATTTTATACCATCTTTTGTTGCTATTGCAATATCCAGGTTTTGAGCACTAAAAACAGGAACACCTTCTAAATGCTTCTTTTGACCTTTTTGTGGCATTGCATTGAGAAGTTTTTTTGCTTCCTTGACCTGCACATATAGTACTTGGAAGTTGGAAGTTGAAATTCTGTCTCTGGTAGTGTGTGAATATTTTATACACACAAAGAAAAGAACAAGTGTAATCTCTACCAAAGAGTTCAAAGGTGAATGCAACTAACCTGCTTTTTATTTGGAACAAACTGAAACAATTCAGGGTTTTCCTACAAAATACATCATATAAAGTGTTTTAATTGTCTCAAAAATAAAAAATATAATAACTAAAACTAATACAAAGCATTAAATAACAATAAAGCATGTGTACACTTTTAAAAAGTACCAATAAACACATTGTATCGTTTCTGTTTAATGAAAACAATCATACAGCTTTAAAAGTATCCAAGTCTTAGAATTGAAGAACATATCTTGATCATCAAAAATTTAAAGACCAACTGCCCATGAATTGCCACATCACAAAAGTACATTCATTATGGCTGTACTTTTCAGTACAAAGAACTTCATTACCTTAAATTGATCATATGCTAAATCAAGACGACATGCACCAACCACGCCACTTGGAACATTCATCCGTTTGACATAAGATACTGAAAAATATTTGACGAAAGTGTGAGAACTCTTAAAAACGGATTAACTTTACAACTCTTTATGTTCCTAAATAAGCCATACACTTCGCTTTTTGGTCAGTACCATAACTATCCTCTATTTCATTTAAGGAAAGCATCCTATGGTTCAAGTTATTTTTCTCCCCTCTAAATAAATTTCTAACTGCACAATTTTTATTTTCCTAACCTCTGAATGGTCAAATTCGGAATTTATTAAGGGACGGAGGGAGTAATATTTCACAATGCTGTCACTTGTCAAGAAATCTAGTTAGTAGGAGAGCATGGAGAATCCGAGAAAACAAATATTAAAAAGAAAATGCAAAAAAAACATAACAAAACCCTAATAAAAAGAATGAGCCTACTAACACTCACTGGAACATAAAGGTGTATTATTTTTCAACAAATGGACCCGTAAAAATCATTATTGTTGAGGTTTGATACTATGGAACTGTCTCCTTGGAGCATAAGACTCAAAATGTCAGCATTGCTAGACAACCTGCATCACCCAGATCCATAAAGAACCGGAACACAGGGCCACTCTTTTCAGTCTTAGTAATTCCATCAACCATCTTCTTAAGCCACTCCGGAGTACTGTAAAACATGAGAGATGATTCAACAGGCAATGTATAATGTAACAGGTCTGTAGCACATAAAAATACTCTTCTTCCCGCTCTATTCCTATTTTTATTTCAGGAAAAATGGGAGGTAAACAGACATGATCCTATGTAGAAGAAGTTGATAAACTTCAGCAGTGACGGGAACAACTTCTCCTTCACAATTTTATACAGCATGCAATAGCAATCTTTTTACTGCGTGCTCAATTTGAGTGAACAATTCAGTATTCGCATTCCCGTTTTCTATAGTATAACACTTACTGAGTCATTGACAGGTTGGCCTGGCGAAACTATCATGGCAGAAATTATGCAATTAGAAACAATATACCCGTGGGTCTAATCCAGCTAAAGCCATGCTTGCGAACTTAGCTAGCTCAGTTCCGATTAGCTACTTTACCCATGGTTCTAAAATTTAAATGCATAGTAGAAGATATGAATACCTTTTAGACAGAAATGGAATGTGGAAGTGCGTGGAGACAGACATAAGACTAGTGCCTGAGAGGTTGCACATACTGAAAACCTGACCAACAAAAGCCGGCCCACCTTTGCCAACAGAACCAGGGCCAGAAATTCTCACAGAGGCGGTGGATTCCAAACTGGGCTTGGAAGGCATGCCTTCGATCGAGGATGACGGAGTTGGGGGGCCCGAATCTAACTCAGTCGATTCGAAGGGGGCAGATTGCAATAAGAGCAGTGGGTGTTGGGTGGAAACGGAGCTGATGAGAGGGGAGCGAGCGCGTGGAGGGGCGGGTTGAAGAGGATAAGATGTCGTTTTGTGGTTGATGAGGGAGTGAAGATTTGAAACGGCAGACTGAACCAGGAAGGAGAGCCTGTTGACGGAGCCACGGGTTTGGGGTTTTCCCGGCGGCGATTCCATTGGAATTTGGGGTTGAATGCTTGGAGAGGGAGAATTTATCGAAAAGGGCCGAAAATGAGTATTTTGAATCTACCCGGCCTTCTATTACATTATTAGGAAATGGTGTAATTACATAAGGACCCTTAATAAAACGACACCATGAACTTAAAAACGACTGTCTATCCGATTTCGAAAAACGGGAAACGGCTTGTTGGTCCCACCAGCTTCCACAATCCAACTTCCGGAATCCCAGCTTCCCCTTCCCACACACTTCATCATTCACTATCAGTCGAAATCGATTTCGGTCGAGCTCCGGGTTAGGGCAGAAGCATTTTCGATTTCCAGCACAAGCATTCCTCGATTTCTACTTCGACTTCGACGAGGAGCATTCTTACATCTCCTTCCATCATCATGAAGTGCAAAAGTCCTACGGTTCCTCTTGGGAAAAGCCAAGCAAGACGGCGACTTGTGAAAGCATCTGAAGTGATGGAAGCCAAAGATGAACTCAATATTCAGGTAAATGTTAGATTATTTATGATTGCTTGAGAGCGATACTTGGTTCTTTAGAAAGCTAGACGTGGTGATTTCTCAAATGAAAGCTATAGATGTTCATTCGAATCCGAACTCAACTCAGTCGACCCAAATCATGTTTGATTATTTTGAAAACGCAATGCATGTTTCTCACTATTTTTTCTAAGTAAACATACCTACCAATTATACAAGTATCATTGGTGGTTAATCCGGAGTGAATTTCTGTAAAATCATTTGGTCGAACTAAACATACATTTTTTACCAATCTTAGTCGAAACGGAGTTGTAAACCATTGGTTCGACCGTATCTTAGTCGAACATCTGTAATGTTTTTTATATGCAGGTTCCTTCCTTGCCTCCTGTGGTGGACTGCTCGTTGTTCCCGAGCATGAAGCTCACAGTAAGGCAAAAATTGGATGAATTTATAGAATTAATTTTCGACAATCTTGGTGAGTTTCCCAATCTCATGGGTGCATTTAGGTCGAGTGTATTTGGGAAATACATTGATGTTGAGTTCATCCCTGTTCCATTACATTTGTGGTCAATCGTGTCTAGATTAGCCAAAATTGATATTGAATCGGAGGCATGGTTTGTCGTGAAGGGAGTTCCAGTACGCTACTCTCTCACAGAATTTGCTCTAATCAGCGGGCTTACCTGCAGCGCCCTTGCTAGCAATTATGAAGATGATTTTGATAATGATTCAAAGGCCAGATTCATTGAGAAGAATTTTGATCAAGATTTTGAGGGAGTTGTTAGCTATGAAACAGTTGTAGCTAGATTTGTACAATTGTGCACAACTTTGAAGGACCCTGAAGCTGAGGACGAACTGAAAAAGGATGCTGAAGTAGAAGTGATCAGAGTAGCAATACTCATGTTTGTAGTGATGGTCCTTCTAGCTCCTTCTAAGAGAAAAGCTCCCATTCCTGAATGGATAATTGGAAAAATAGGGGGAAAAGAAGAAAACGAGTTCCCATGGGGTACGTGGGCGTATAAGGGCTCATTAGATGCATTGAAACATATGGACTTGGAGAAAAAGCTAGATGAAATAATTGCTAAAAATAAGTCAGCAACAATGAATTTCCCTGGATTCTTAATCCCAATTTCGGTAAGGACCTTTGTTAATATCATTTGCAGATTCTATTTTGCATACTGTAATAACAATTTGTCTAGCATTTCTTGACTTTTTCAAATTTTGTTTTAATAGATATTGCTTTTTGAATGCGCCCCTGATTTTGCCGAGAAGTTTGCAATGAGACTCCCTAATTGTGTGCCTACTTTGCCGAGGTTACGTCTCTATCGTCCAAATACGACAAAAAGGATCAGCACTGAACAGGTTCAAGTGGCTGAAGAATCAATAAAGGTAAGAACATTTTCACACTTATAACCTTTGTTCGACCAGATTGTGGTCGAACAAATAAACGTGATCGACTACTACACGGTCGATAATACGTTGTTTTGTTTATACAACTAAAAGTGAAGAACTAAATGTTTGTTACAGAGGGTGCAGAGTATTCTACTACCTGATGATTTGGAGAAAACTACTGATTGGGTCAGAAGTTTGGATCCTGTACAAGACAGTCACCCACATGTTGAGCTGGATGGATTTGTGAAATCATTAGAGAGAAAATTGGTTCTTTTTCCAGTCTCTTTGAAAAGAAAATCATGTGAGGTCAAGAGTCCTAAAGAGGAGAAGAAGCCTCCTAAAAAGATGAAGTTGCTGAGCATGAAGAAAGAAGAAGGTGTAGTGGAGGAAAAAAGAAAGAAGAAAAAGAGACACTCTCCTCCTCAAACCCCTATTGCCTCTCCTCAACCTACTGCCCATGTAGAGGAACAAAGAAAGAAAAAGAAACACTCCCCCAAAACCCCTGCTGCTTCTCCTAAGCCTCCTTCCAATGAAGATTCAATAAAAATGTATATTGAACAAAAGTTTAAAGAACTGGAGGATCTTTCAGAAAAAAGGCTCAATTCTTTCAAAGAGCATTATGACAAAAAGTTTCTGGAGTTGGAGAAACGGTCAGAAGAGAGGCACAAGAAACTTGAAGAGTTACTTGTTAAGGTTTGTCTTAATTCTATAGCAAGATAAACCTTTAAAACTTGAGCTTCAATAATTAGTTATAATTTTTTCCTTATATAGTCCACTGCTAGAGGAGAGGAGAAAAGTGTTGAGGGGGCTGAGCATAAAAAGGAGGTAATTGCGTATGCATTAAAGCTGTTAATGGACTTGTAATATTTTTAAAGCTGGTAGAATTGTTTTGTTTTGTGAACGGTCATGAATACTTACTTTACTTATTTTCCATCTAGAAAAATGAAGAGAGTGACGATTCTGAAAAGAAAATGGAGCAGGAAGATGAAAAGGGTTTAGACAAAGAGGCTCAGGCTGAAAAGTTCGACCAAGAGAAGAAGGTACATCGTTTAATTCCAAACATTTGTGTATAAAATATTCCGCCGACTAATATTTGGTCGACCTGTAAATATGTAATAAAAAAGTGGTCGACTTTGCTGTATATTTAACATGTTCTTGATTCTAGAATTTACGTTAATATTGGTAATTCGTATAGATGTTAACAAAGATGTAAGATCATGAATACTTACTTTACTACTTTTCATCTAGGAAAAAGAAGAAGAAGAAGCTCAAGGAAATGAAAAGATGAATGAACAGTATCAGGTTGAAGAGATAGAACAAGAAAAAAAGGTATATTTTAATCAAAAGTATTTGCTTAAACCAAACTGTTTGTTTATAAGAAGATTTGATCCACTAATATTGGATCGACTTTGAAACTATGTAAAAAATAAGTGGTCGACTTGATGTATATTTTATTCATAATTTACTATTTTTCTTCTAGGAAAATGAAGAAGAAAAAGAGTCGGAAGATGCCCAAGACTCTATGGCTAAGGTTTAGTAGTTTAATAAAAAATATTTGTGTTTACAAAGTTTTTTTCAACTGTTTTTTCAATTGCATGGGTGATGGCTTTGAATAAGAAGATTCGATCGACTAATATTGGATCGACTTTGAATCTATGTAAAAAATAGTGGTCGACTTGATGTGCATTTTAATAATACATTACTATTTTTCTTCTAGGAAAATGAAGAAGAAAAAGAGTCGGAAGATGCTCAAGACTCTATGGCTAAGGTTCAGTAGTTTAATAAAAAAATATTTGAGTTTACAAAGCGTTTTTCAACTGTTTTTTCAATTGCAAGGGTGATGGCTTTGAATGTGTATATACCAATTGTTTTCCGCAGGGTCATGAAGTCGAAAATGTATGTACATTGCAGACAAGTGAAGAGATTGGAGAGGTAACTAAATAGATAATAAACAATCGACCAAAAGAGGGCCGACCGAAAAAATCTACTACCTTTGTCTTCTTTAAAGATTAAGCATTAATACATATTATACATATAATGACAAGGTTGATCAGACGGTTGAACCAGGACTGAACATTGTTGATGACTCTATTGGCTTAGGGGAATCAGAGGTAACCTATAAGTAATCGACCAAATTATGATCGACTACTTACGTTAGTAATCGACCAAATTATGATCATGAATACTTACGTTACTATTTTTCATATAGGAAAATGATAAATTGATTACAGAGGTTCATCAGTATCAGTGTGAGGAAATAGAAAAAGAAAAAGAGGTATATTTTAATAAAAAAATATTTGCTAGACTTGATAGACTTTGAATCTATGTAAAAAATAAGTGGTCGACTAATATTTGATAGACTTTGAATCTATGTAAAATCGACTAATATTTGATAGACTTTGAATCTATGTAAAAAATAAGTGGTCGACTTGATGTATATTTTATTTATACTTTACTATTTTTATTCTAGGAAAATGAAGAAGAAAATGAGTTGGAAGATGCTCAAGACTCTATTACTAAGGTTCAGTAGTTTAATAAAAAATATTTTTGTATACAAACCTTTTTCAACTGTTTTTTTCCCATTGCAAGGGTGATGGCCTAGAATGTATATATTCCAATTTCTTTCCGCAGGGTGATGTGGAAGAAGTTGTTTGTTCATTGCAGACAATAAACTTATGTACATTGGAAACAACAGAAGAAAGTGGAGAGGTAACTACATACTTAAATAATAAACATCTACTACCGACCTATGTCTTCTTTATAGATTAAGCATTAATATATATTATACTGATAATGGCAAGGGTGATCAGACGGTTGACCCAGGATTGCATATTGCTGATGTCTCTAATGAGACGGTTCATGATCAGTTAGCTGAGGAGAGTGAAAAGGTAACTTATAAATGATCGACCAAAAGAAGGTCGAATACAGAAGATCGACTACTTATTTCTTACCAAAAGGTTAAGCATTAACATATATATTATAATTATAATTGAAGGGTGATGAGAAGGTTGATCCAGGATTGAATGTTGGTGATACTGCTGAACTTGATAATAAAACGAAAGAGGTAAACCACAAAACTTTTTAATATTATAATATCGACTACATTTATTTTTTAAAATATTAAACTTTGACATATATATTACACTTAATAATTGATAGGGTGATGATAAGGTTGAGCAACCATTTCGTATTATTGATTATGTTTG